ACTAGTTGCTGGGCGGACTGGCAGTCTCTAGCCCACCGGGGAGGAAGCCCCTCACCCAGGTATGTGACACTAGTCACGTAGGCAGAGGGAGCAGGTTTCCCCACTCCCGCAGGAATGTATCCAGCTCAGGTTACCTAAAGAGATAGGGTAAAGGTGTGTCTCCTCTGCTGGGGCCATCCTAATCAAATTGTCACAGAGCAGAGTTTTTGGGGAGAAACAAAGGTGGCCTTCTGCCACAGGAGCAAAGACTAGAAAGAGAAATAGATATTACCACATTTGAGATGGTAGCAAAACTTAAACAGCTTAACAGATGCAAATCAAAGGGACCAAGTAATCTCTGTCCCAGAACAGTGAAAAACTGGCACATGACAACACAAGACTGGCAGCCAGGGTTTTTAATGAATCTTTCAAATCAGAAAGGGTATACTATAACTAGAGAATGGCGCGCACACAGTCCATGGTTGTGGTCATGGGATGACACCATGCCATTTTGTTCTCTCTATTGTTGACATTCTTTGACCAAGTAACAAAGGCCTGTTATGATCTTCCCTGTTCATTCAGTAATGATATTTATCCACATTTTCCTTTGTTGGCCTCCCTTTCTTCTTCCATTCACTTTTCCTTGCAGTATGGTGTTGGCCAAATTAGGAAGGCTCATAATAAGGTCAAACCAACTCAATGTGGGGTTCTTAACAATTTCAAGGAGGCTTTCACATTTTCAAACAGCCAAGAACTTGTCTTTAACTGATTGTTCTGCCCTATGAGCTGTATTCAATATCCTTAAGAGCTGGCCACACCAACCCTTTTTGAATATTTGTACAAAAAAAACCCAGCGACTACAGGAAAGATCAGCATTTGTAGAATAGCTGGGGGCATATATAGCCACAGCAAACAGCTCTGCAGTGATGCCAAGGTGCTCCAGCTATTTAGTACACTTTTTATTTCAAAGGGCATTGCTTTTCTGATCAGCTGGAGATCCACTGAATTCCAGCTGATTGGAAAAGTGATGCCCTCTGAAGTAAAAGCCACAGCCAACAGCTGAATGGCTTGTTTTTGATTTGGCCATATGCTGCCAATTAAGGGGTTTGTGAACCACCCAGATACAACCGATCCAGGTTCCCAGTACTCCGGGTCCAGCTTTGATATTCAAGTAGGGCTGTTGTCATTACCATTAATCTAAGAAGCTGGTACTTTATTTTGATGGAAATATTACTGCCCTTGAAGATCATGGACAGTTTTTCCAGTGCTGCTGTTGCTATTGCAAATCTTGTCTTTAGGTCTTTGCCAGTTCTACAATCTTCTTTGATATTGTATTTTAAGTATTTAAAACAATTCATTTTTCAAGGCTCCTTCCTTCAAGTAAATATAGGCATACATGGTACTTATATAATGGAAAAGCCAAAGAAGTGATCTGTTCAACTACAGACCCATTAAACTTACCTCAGTTAGTACACAACAAGAAGAAAAAGTAATTTGAGCTATAAAAATGAATGGGAAATGGGATAAAATACAACATGGGTTTACCAAACATGGGTTCTGCCAGACTAACCTGATCATCATTCATTGAAAAAACAACTGAATCACTAGACATGAGAAATTCAGTAGATCTGATCTATCTCGACTTCAAGAAAAAATCTGCCACACAGTAAACTATTAGTTAAGGTGGAGAATATGATCATTAGTACAAGAATCTACAGTTATTAAGGAACTAGCTAAAAGGGAGACAGCAGTTGGTTGTACTGAAAAGGACTATTGGACTAGGGAAGATTACAGGTGCTGTTTTTTAAGTATCCATCTCGAGACCAATCTTTTTAATGATCTTTCTATAAAAATTAGGAGTGTCTTAATGAAATTTGCTGCTGACACAAAGCTGGGAGACACAGTCTATGCAGAAGACAACTGGGATATCATATAGAAAGAACTGGATGATCTTGGGTATTGGAAAAATAGGAAGGGATGGAATATAATAGTAATAAAATACAAGGCCATTCACATAGAAAATAGCAAGATTTTCTGCTATACCATTAGAGATGAACTGTTGGAAACAACAGAGGGAAAGATTTGGGTATATTAGCTGACAAGATGGCTATGGAGTACTCTTGTGATGCAGTTATGAAAAGGGCAAATATGATCCTAGGCAAGAGATTTCCAGTAAAGAAACAGAAATATTAATGTCATGGGCAAGAGACTGCTAAGACCTTATCTGGAATACAGTGTACAATTCTGACCATGCACAAAAGATGAATTCAAACTGGAACAGGTAGAGAGAAGGGTTTCAGAGACAATTTGGAAAAGAGAGAGCCTGTTTTAGGTGAGCGGACTAAAAGAGATTGCCTTGGTTAGTCTAGCAAAATGAAAACTGAGAGGGGATATGATTGCTGCCTGTGAATATATCACAGGAGTAAATGCATAGGAAGGCAAGGGGAACTGTTTGCTGAAGAACAAATTTGAGTTAAGTACAAATGGGAGTAAGCTGCAACAAGTAAGTTTAGCTAGAAATTAGAAGATCGGATGAGTGAGATTTTGGGACAACTTCCAAGTGGAATAATGGGTGCCAAAAAAAAAATCTGTTTTTAAGATGGAGTGTGATAAAATTTAGGGTAGGATTATATGACATGGCAGCCTGTAGTAGAGAGGACCATTCAATGATAGAGGAGGCCCCTTCTAGTCCTATGTTCCTACCTTCTGGTGCCTTTCTCCTCCCCTTCCCATAAACACTTTCTAAATGCTCTATTTTTGAAGGACATTACACTTTGCCTTCTGGACTGGTGACAAGGCACCATGATGTGGATATGAGTCTTTGACTCCCCAGGAAGTCCCATTTTACCATTAGCTGACTGGATTTCACCCAACCTGCAGATCTTTCACAGACTTTCAGTTAAAATAGGCCATAAGAGACCCCTGTAATCATCTAGTGTGACCTCCTTCATTACACAGGCCATAGGGCTGCTCTCAATTCGTTGCTGTTTGAACTAGAGCATGTATCTTTTTGCTTTGCAAATCCAATCCTGATATTTCTAGTGATGAAAAATCCACTACAATGCCTTAGTAAATTGTTTCAGTGGTAAAACACTAGGGCTGTGCAAAACTGCACTGTTCTGTTTTGACTTGCATTTCGAAGTTTCGATGGAACAGCGTTTTGTTTCAAATTTTGTTTCAATTCAAAACCACTGTTCTGTTTCGTTTCGTCAAAACAGTTTTGCTGTTTATCCCATAGGCTATAATGGGGAAGCACAAAACGGCCTGTAACTTTGTCATTTTTGGCCTGATTTGGATGAAACTTGCAGGAATAGTAGCCCCTTCTGAGGGCACAAAGCTTGCCAAGTTTCAAGGAGACAGGTGCAGGGGTTTCAGGGAAACTGCACCTCAAAGTCTTGAAAGCAAAACACTGGTGTCATGTCTAAGTGTTGAGTCACAGCTGGGTCAAAACTGCAGGGATGCTAGCCCCTGCTGAGGCCACAACACCTGCCAAGTTTCAAGAAGATCAGTGCAGGGGTTTGGGGGGAACTGTACCTCAAGCTGCTGACAAGCAAAACTCTTGCCATGGGTGACACTGTGTGTGTTAAGGCACAGCAGAGTGACAGCTGCAGACCTGCTAGCCCCTGCTGTGGCCACAAAGCCTGCCAGCTGTTGAGCAGTTCGGTGCAGGGGTTCTGGGGCCCTGCACCTCTAGCTGCTGACAGACAAAACTCGTGACATGAGCTGCTGACAGACAAAACTCGTGACACAGTGCTTGTGGGACTGTGTCTGTCTTGGGGCAGAGTGGGGTGAAAACTGCAGGACTGCTAGGCCCTGCTGTGGCCACGGAGCCTGTCAGGTGTCAAGGAGATGGGTACAGGGGGAATTTGGGTCGTGGGGCCCTGTACCTCTAGCTGCTGACAGGCAACACTTGTGACGTGGGTGGGTGACACTGTGTGTGTTTTAAGGTGCGTCCTCACTCAACTGACACCAGGGCAGAAAGCAGGGCAGTTCAAACAACGCTGCCTTTTATGCAGTTTTTCCATCCCTCCCCCAGAGCACTGGGATTGGAAGGGAACCTCAGGAAAGGGTGACAGTCACTGGCCAGCTACACAATCAATAATGAGAGCACTCCTTCCCCCTCGCTCTCCTTTAGTTTCTGTTTCCCTGCAGGCAACCCCAGCTTGAGCTTTGAAACTCGAAACATTTCGAAAACTTCGAAACGTTTCAACTTGCCTCATTTTGTTTTGAGACTGTTTTGAAGCTCTCTGTTTCATTTCAATTTTGCCGTTTTGTGCTTGAAACTTGTCAAAACAGCATTGAAACGAAACTGCCAGCGAAATTTCACACAGCCCTATTAAACACCCTCACCATTAAATTGCTAGTGCTTTACTAGCTTCTTTTTAACATATATCCACAGACTGCATGTGTTAGTCACTCCTTAACAAAATAAGGGGTCAATTACTAGACTAGCTGGACTAGAAAAACCTGAGGGCTATTGTAGGGAGAGCCCTCTGTAACAAAAGTATGAGCCCCATCCTTCCATCATTGACTTCAAATGTTGCATCCAAAGTGACTGTATGCCAACTTTTTGTCACAGCAACATCTTTAAAGCAGGACTTGAAAGCCTTGTGATCATGAGGCTCAAATTAACATTTCAAACAGGAAAAATCATTTTAGGGATGAATTACTAAGAGGACCTCCACTCTCGGTCACGTACTTACCATTCTGCTGTCATTCCCTCCTCATCTTTTATTGTGAGCTTGTGTAACAGCCATACGTCTTCTGTGCCCTAAAATTGATTATTTCCCTCTCAACAGCCTCATCCATTAGTGACGCACATAGATTCAAATGTTGTTGCTTCTACTTCTCTTTTTTTTATTCCTCCTAGTTTTTATGACGCACGCACTGAGAGTTGTCATTATTCTATATTTGCATGGATTAAGCTGTCTTTATCATCTATTAACTTCCAAATGATCAAATGATCAGAGCCTTTTGCATCCTTTCTCATTGTTTACTCTGGCTTTTGTCATCCCCTTCAGATCAGCACTGCTGTTGCACGTTAGTATGAGGAGCTCAATGCCTGCACTCTGTAGACCGTTTAAGCATTCTTTTTGTAAAAGTAAGTGCATCTCCTAAATATGCATTTTAATTCACATTCATTTTTCTTGGTCTCTTCCTTCTGCTTCAACAAGCCATTTAGGACTCCTCTCTTTTAGTCCTTTCTTTATTTTTGGCCATATAAAAAGTTATGTATGGAATGAAACACACAGCCTGGTCTTTATTTTCTTCTTTGATTCTTGAGTCTTTTTCCTTAGGCCACTAAGTGCTTTGACTTCTTTCCATTTGAAAGGCATGTCGTTATTAACCTGCTTTTGATAGTTCAAAATAAAACAAAGAATTGAAAAATATAGAATATGTTAGAGGAGGCAGCATTTCTAGGGAGAAAGACAAGGGTGATTTAACAGGATTCTTCCCCACCCACCTACAGTCATCCTTAATTTGTATAACTGTAGTTTTGTCTGCATTACAAAGAAACTTTGTATATGAATTCACTTGTAAACAGGATGGTCCGTAAATCTGGCAGTGCTTCTGCGGTTTATAATTAATGTGGTTCAATTACACACAAAAACATTAATTGATAACTCATTAAAAAATGACCTATCAGGAAGATCCTATTAGGAGTGACACTGCAAGTGAAAGGATTTGTAGATGTGCTGAAATATGACTGGCAGGTTAATGTGCAACCTGCACTACTGGATATTTTAGTCATATTTTGGATACTCTTGAGAATTTGAAAAGCTAGAACAGTCCAGGAGATACAATTTTTTTATCCTGTAAAACCAGGAAGACAGAAATCATCACCTCCTTCAACATTCCTGAAGCAGAGCTGCATGAGGCAAGACCAGTCAGAACTGGACTCTCTCATGTGTCTGTGGCTAATTATAATTTCAAAACAGTGACAGGCCCCTGGGAAGCACTGTTTTCTTGGGGGGTTTAGCACTCCACGTTGCCTGGCAATATGGCCACAAATGGATTGTATCTTTCTATGTTAGGTATCTGACTTGCCCCACCACTATGGTATCAGAGTACCTTGCAGTTTTCATGTCTTCATGCTCCCAGTATCCCCATAAGGTGGGGAAGTGTTGCTATGTGACTTGGCAAGGCTCAAATTACAAGACCATAGTACAAGAGAGGGTTGAACTTCCAAATTTGGCTATCACACTGACCTTTCGGCCAACTAGGCCTGGGCAGTGTTTGCAGGGCTGGTGCTGTTGCCACGGTATAGACTCCCTAGGGGAGTAAACAGGATGATCACTATAGCCAATGGTGTTTCTGCAGTTTATAATTCACGTATGTTGCAGGGGTTACAATTCTGTTGTCCCCACTAAGCTGTCCTGCTTAACAACCAACTTATTCTACTCCTTTGGACCATGCTCTCAGACCTTCTACAGCAGTGGTAGAGACAACTGTCCTTTCTTCCATTTATGCATGCTCTACTCATCCAGTTCAACGACAGATTTAAAGCAACCTCCAATTTTATATGCTTTGTTGCACATATAAACAGCAAACACCACTAAAGCAAATTGCATTAGTCATGATTTGCCACATTTATCTGAGGAGAAACTTCAGGGACCAGATCTTCCTGTGTGGGCAAAGGAGGTAGTGTTTATATCAGGGATAGCAGACAAACGTTATGATGCTGAGATATTTTTCCTTGGGCCAATTACATTGATTTTACAGCCAAGCTACCTCCCTGGCATGGCACAAAAGGGTCCTGGACACGTGTATTGTGTACTAGCAGTTGAGGAGCTACTCAACTTCTCTAATGCCACATGACTCATATTCTTTGGAAACACTGCACATATTGTCAAGGGTATTTGTTACTCTGTAAACTGATAGAAAATTCCACAGATCCTTTGCAAGAGAGCCAGGATGCATTAATCATTAAATATCATTAGATATTATGCAGTTCACTGCCTTAAAAAACATATAGCTAATTTGCATGCTGTACATTTGGTTAACTGCATGCATTTGCATGTAGAAAGAGGAGGATTGGAGCCTGAGCTGGGAACCAGGGCTGCCTCCTCTGAATACACTGGACATGTAGGAAGCTACATGGCTGTCCATCGCAGCTGGAACATCACTTTAGTCACTTGGACAAAAAGCAAAACTATGAGAGACAGCCAAGTAGCCTGAAGACTTGTACTGAGCAAGTGCTTGCTGTTTTAGTTTGCTTTTCTGCCCTGTCTTCAAAGAGCCAGCTACTCTTAGTTGTGGTTGCACTGATAGTATAGTAGGGAGATTTGCCACTGATTTCAATGAGTGTAGGGCAAGAAGCAGATATATTGCAATGGAGGTGAAAATACTAGTAACTTATCAGTGATATTATTTTGTCAAATCTAGAGTTGTGGAGAGGGGGGGTTGAGAAATAATTTATTCTTTGAAAAATCCGGTTTTTGCAGCAGTAAGAATTATTTACAAATAAATGCCAAATTCAACAAATACTTTCGGCTAACAAATATAGGGAAAAAAGAATTTTCAGAGAAGTCAAAAGGTTTTATTTAGATGTTTTCAGAACTAAACTTTTTGAATATTTGCTTTTAAATAAACTGTATTGGGATTAAATTCAGCTAGACATAATTTCTAAAAGAGTAAAGCAGTACCCCAAATGAAATATTTAATTCAACAAAGAACAGCTCTGGGGCAGAGGATGTTTGCAAGAAATAAATAAAATAATTAATTTGTTTCCATGGTTCTAGCTTCTCAGAACAGGCAAAAAAGTGATTTTCATTTCAGCAGCTGTGAGTATGTTAATCTTTCCTCAGCATTGCTAGTGCTATTCATAAAAATATCCATAATAAGCATGAATGAAATCCAGTAGAAAGGTGCATAGAAGCATAGGTCCTCTGACATGTCAGGTTTCTATATTGCTGACTACAGGATGTAAAATGACTCCAACAACATTTCAGGCACCTCTACATCACGGATTCTGCAATAAGAATAGCAACAGCAAGTAACTAGAGAACACCTAGACACTGCCTTCCACTAGGGCAATACAGTATCAGGGGAATCCAAGGCTTCAATCTGAAAACTTTCACCAAGCCCCAACAGAGTTCTCATAGATAGTATACTGGATTTCCCCCCACATTTCCTCACCATTGTGTATTAAGAGTATTAAGTAACCAATGGTTTCCATCTCATTGAAGCAACTATTTACACATCACCCTCAAGAAGCCAAAGACAGGGTAAATTTTTGAGACTGACACTTTTATGGGACTGATCATGTATTATCTAATGGATGAATTATCAGTAATTATTTAATGATGGCTGCAGGGATAATAGATTACACTAAGTTAGCACTACAGGCTTTCACCTCACACTGCAGTTTCTATCACACTGCAGAAATTAACCATGTTGTCATCTCAGAATACATTTTCATTGCTATCAGACCGTAGAGTCTATAGTCTTCAATATGCACTGCAAAGCACAAAAGAGTGAAGGCCTTATGTTTAGCTGGGAGAGAAAGATGTAAGACATGTATGCAGGAACTTGTAAAACTAGTCAAGCACACGAGAGACAAACATTGCACATCCTCTCAAGCATCCTGCCTTCACCCGCAAGTGAGAAAGCACGTTGAAGGACATAGCTTCCAAAAAAAGACATAGTCCAAAGAAACCTGGCAGCATTGACAGTATTTTCCTTCAGGCACAGCACAGTCAAAGATGGTGCATGGCTACTGCAGGTGAAGTCCACCTACTCAGTATTTGCAAGGAAGTATGCAAATACTGTCACAAGTCGACTCTACCCATACTGTTGTTTGTTCCTTCAGGGTGCGCACAGTGCAGGCCCAAGCAAAGCACAAGTGAAAGTCAATGGAGCCTGCTCCACAATGAGCTGCAGAGCTCAAGGGACATAAAGCATGCACTAGTAAGGAGATGGTCAAGCTATCAAAGAGGAAAGGCCTTGTTTGTATTCCCCTGCCTCTGGTGGCAGACAGCAACTACCAGAACATAGGCACACCCAGGTTTGTCTTGTGGCTTTGCCCACCAGCAGTCAACAACCTGGATCCAGCAGCTCACTGCATCAGAGTTGTCAACACAAGAAAAAAAATCTACTAACAATCTGCAAACTTTTTGCTGGCAACCAAACTTTTTTGGTAAGATATGTTTTTTACTGACATGTATTTCACCTAATGTACATGTAACCCTTCTGCCAGACCCTGAATGGCAGTAACAAGGGACAGGTTCAAGTTTGGTTTAGGACCAACTTTTTACATCTAGTCTCAGCTGGCATATTTTATATATGACATGTAACATAAATGATGCCAAATTGACAAACAAAGTCTTACTTGACTGCTGCAATGGTTTTACACTGTCCTGACCCCACCCCAGGAGTCCCCTATTTACCCTCATACCCCAAAATCCTGGCTACCTCCTTCACTATGCTATGCCCAGCCCAGCCCAGCCTTCAGTCTTACCCCACCGGCTCTGCTCCCCATCCCAACAGAGACCCCTACCCACCACCTCTATTCCCTTCTACCCCGACAGCTCTGTAACTGCAGCTGTCCTCACCTATGAATGGAAACACAATTTAAAAAACCAAACTTTAACTGTTGTAGTCTTTCAATAATAAAGACTATAACAACGGAAGGCTTTGCACAAAAAATGACAACACTCCCTGTGCCATCAAGGAAACCAACATCTTACTTATTTGAGAGGATTTATTTTTAAAACATTTTTTAAAGCCAATCACATGGGGTTTTTTGAAAGGCTGGGATTATAAGAGGTCTTTGGGGAAGGAAGCCCTTTTGCTTATTATCCAGCAGTCTGGGTAAAATAGTATATCAATGTTGCTGTTTTACTGAGAACATGCTGTCTAAAAAGAGCTCAATTACACCAAAGCTTATCAGACACAAAAGTCAGTTTTCAGAAAAGCAGAGAGTAACATATGGATTAAACCTGTCAGTTAATTGAAAAGGCCAAGGTTTAAAATTACAGAGGTGTGCACTTAGTGGAGCAATACTTAAAGAAATAGTGCCAGCTCGAGGGGCCAATAAAAAGAAAAATGTAGCACAGGACTTGCAGATTCTGTAGCAAGTATCAAAACTACATAGAGTGTGAGTAATTTGCTTGAGTTTTAAAAATGTTTTCAAACATGATATGGAAAGTGAGTCAAGTCCAGGGAAAAAATAAAGTGTGTCTTTTGTTTCTACAAATAGAAACATGACTTTAGAGTTGTGCAAAGCTTCGGTCCCTGATTTGATTCGGCTGAGATTTGGCCCAATTCGGTGGCTGAATCTCTGAATCGAATCAGAGGACCCTTTAATCTGTTCAAATCAAATCGGAACCCTCTGTATTGTCTTGGACGGCCGGAGCCGACTCGAGGTGATTTTCGAAATTACTCGTTCTCTGGGCAGGCTGGTGAATGGAGAGGCAGACAAAGCTTAATGGTTGCAAAAACTTTACTTACGCCGCTTGTAGCCGCGATGCAGACGGTCCGGTCATTTGAACAACTATGTGAGTTGTTCCAGCTGGCAAGGCTCAGGCCAGCTAATCCGTCCACAAATTAAGCCAGCGGGGAAAGGGTACGTCAAGGATTGCGCTCGGCGACGGGGAGAAGAATCGATAGGTGATCAGTCTATCGATCAGCTCAGCCGCAAGTCAGATCTCTTTAGAGGCACTCTGCAGCGTGCTCAAAGTTCTCCGACTTGGGCGGAAGTCGCACGAAATTTTAAACGGCTAGCAAGCCAATTACTAGCCGCCACGTAGGAATAATTTAGAACTGGCCAATAGCGGGACACAAATTTGCATTCAAATGGCGGGAACTCTCTTGCACCGGGGTTTTTCTGTTGCAACAAAAACCTTTGCTGTGCAAGAGGCTCTCATGTGACGGGAAAATTCCATCATGCCGAGGCACCAAAATCACTGGGTTGTGACATGTATCAATTCAGACGGAGACAGCTTTAAATGTTTTTTCTACATACCTCTAGATACCTCTAGGTACCAGGCGGCTTGTGAATGCTGAGGCAGATGGCAGATGGAGCGTCCCACAGGAGCACAGGGGGGTCCCCAGCTCGCTTGGCAGCAGATTGGAAGTGGACCAGAAGTACTTCCGACCCATTTCTGGGTCCACCGGGGAGCATGCGGGAGGGCCTCCCGCGGCCCCCCAGGTTGGTGACTTGTGCCTCCTGGGTCTACTGTAAAGCATACACTCATGTACTGCACAGTAAAGCATCCCCGTCAACATGTGTGCACCATTTACTGCGCATTAAATTAGTCTACTGTGCAGTTAGCTACTACCTGTAAATAGAATTACTAAACTAACTGAGCATCTACACATGCAGTAGTGCATGTGTAGATGCTGACCAGGAGCAAATTTGCTCCTGGTTAGCCCCAACACCAGGGGGCCACAGGGGATGGGGAACTCCCTCAGTCCTGGCACTGCTCAGCTCCTGGCTCCAGGATAGGGTAGCTCTCTGTCCCACCCCACGGCTCCATCCCAGCACTACACAGCTCCTGGCTCCCCACAGGAGCTGGTTGCTGAGGAGCACTAGGACTGGGGAGCTGTCTGCTTCCCCACCCAGCCAGGGGCTGGCTGGAAGCTGTTCCACTTCTGGAGCAGCTCCCAGCCAGCCCTTGGCTGGGCAGGGAAATCCATAAATATCATATTTATCACATGATAAAAAGCTCCAACCAGCTATTAAGTTAGACCTCAAAAATGTGTACTAATTTTATAGCTGGTTGCTATCTGGCTTTAATTTGCATGTGTAGCACGGTCTCCCTTGCAGCTGGAAGTCCTGGGAGCTGCCAGGACTTCCAGCCACAGGGGTGCATCATGCCCAGCATGAAACCCCTGAGCCTTGGGGATCACGGCTACAGCCCAAGGCTCCAGGATGTGTGATACTCCTGGGCCCACATGTGCAGCTAGGATTGAGAATCTCAGACTTGACAGGGCTCTTGGTCCCAGCTGTGCTCAAGCTTGAAATCCCTTCAGCAAAGGGGGCTCCCAGTCGTGGGTACCTGTTTCCCTCTGATGCAGGAGAAACTCAGGATCGGGCTCCCCCTACACTGGCAATAAGCCACAATGGAGCCTAATGCATAATCCCACAATCGCACCTCCTGCCATGCACATGCAGCATGGCAAGAGGCTCGATTATGTAGATCACACGTTAGATACAATCCTGCCTTTACCTGCTTGTGTAGAGGGGCCTGATCTTATGCTTCTTGCCCATCAAGATTCATTTTGCCCCAGCTTCCCTTGATTTTATTACAGGAGAAAGAACTTTTCCATGTTGATCTGCAGCACATGAAACAATAAATGACATCTGAGACTGGCTGATTAGAAGACATTGAGGAGACATTTAATTCATGTCAAAAGTTGCTGACTGTAATCTGACTAAAGTTCCATGAGATTATCCTTGCTGTACACAAAATTACAACACAGGAAAAAAAAATCAGCTTTTAATTCCTTTCTGAAAAGTTGCACTGTTGCTTTTTTTTTCTTAGATTTAATAGTGACATACATTGTGGAGGGTAGGTGAGATGAAGAGCTAAACAGAGCATTAAACACCAATTTAAACTATTCACACGCACAGTTTTTATATACGTGCGTGACAATGGGCCAATATATAAAACAAATGATGTAATACTGAATGAATTTCTCTTGCATGTTCAACCAGAGAATATCAAAACCCATTACAAACTTTACAGCTAAACATACCTGAACTTGGTACACGGTACTCAGGTACTGAGTACACAACACACACAGTACTCAGAACTGGAATATTAAAAGTTTCATGGCTTTGCTCTAACATAAATCATGCTAGTACACATTCACAAAACATTTTCTTTTCTATTGAGAATTGCAAAATTGAAATCTAGGGAAATTATTGATTTTCCTTCGTTCTTCTACCAAATTATGTGACATCCATGTGAGAATGCATTTGGTTTACTTGAAAATTGATGTGCATATAGATCTAGATATCAAACAGATATCAAACTTGCTTTGAGCTCCATAGCCCATTTCATTTTTTTCACATCATTTTTCAATATCTCTCCATTGCAAATTAATGTCACTAAGTTCTTGTGCCAAGTTTTAAAAGACTAAGACCAAATGAATAAAATATCAATTTTACAGGGCAATAGTAGCGCCGTGAAATCCCATGGTTAGTCATATATTTGTGAAGCATTTTCAAAAATAATCAATCAGTCATGACAGTCTACGTGCCCCAAGAAACCAAGGAAGAAACTGAGGCATTGAAAACTTTACAAGGTGCTTAAAGTCTCACAGGAAGTCTGTGACTAAATGGGAATAGAATTCAGACTTCCAGTCTTCCTGCATTACCTAAAGGACCACCTCTTCTTTCTCTCAACAGAAAAGCCTCGAGGAAAAAAGGAGCAATATGATTGGGTACAGACACATAGCAATTACCTGAGAATATACTTCCTTTAGCAATTAGCAGAGATTTCTTATGCTTAATTAAGCGCTGCTTGCTCTCCGTCAACCTGCCACGTTCAAGACAATTTCAGATAAGTTTTAAGAATAATGCAGGTTGAGGGAAAAAGCCAGTATGCATCCAGATTTCAAACTGCTAGTAGTTTAGGGATCTCACATGCAAGGATATAATCTGAAGCAGAAGTAGTATATGCACTGAGAAATAAAAATGACAGAGTGAATAATGGATTTTCCTGTTTGGTTGCCAAACTGAAAAATGAGGCAGAGAGTGGGGAGGAAATGGGAATACATTTGAGGAGAAAGTAAAAGGATTATTTTAAAAAACATTTTTAAAAATCAACAACTACATTTTGTGTGGACCCAAAACATTCCAGTCTACCTGAAATCAAAAGCTTCAGTTTCATTTTCTGGATATTTTACCATCCCCTCCCCTCCTCCTCCCACTGCCTTCCCCACGTCTCCCTCCCCCGTTTTATTTAGTTTAGGTCAATTTTGAAATAGAAAATGCCATTTTGTTAAAAAGGTCAAAATGTTTCATTTTAAAAATGTCAAAAAAAAGTGTTGCCACGTCTAAATGCCAAGGTGTTTTTTTGGTTTCCATTTTTTCCTACTATTTCTTTTTTTACTGTAACAGTTTATGAATAGCTTTGACCACTTAACATTGCTTTTTTCCAGTAAATTTACTTGGCCACCAAAGAAGCCCATGTCCAGTCATCACTGTCCCCAAGGGACAACTTAAGGGACAGAAGACATTATCATGGATATGTGGCCAGATCAGGTGGTAATGCCCTGTTTTAGGTGGGTAAAACCCAACCTGTTCCAGGAAGACAAAACCAAAACGGAGACTGCTTTCCTAGCTGTGGCATTGTGTGGCAAGTCTCCAAATGTGAGTTGTGCTCAGTGTTCCAGCCACTGCTGGGGAGCAACTTAACTATGGTGTTGATGATATTAAAACATTTTGCCATGGGCATAGTTAAGGGAGACAAACTGGACCCCCCCGCCCCCCTGTCACTTTTCACACGGAATATGTAGGCAAGAGCAACTTTGCCTCCCTCCCTCCAAGTTTATCCTAATAGATGTTTAAGATGAACAGTACATAACACATGGAAAAGGTGCAGCAGTGGCAGGGCATGGATGCACAGTACAGTACAGCACTTCAGTGGGGGTGTCCACACAGTGCAGTGGGGGCGTCTGCCTGGCATAAGGTCCAAGAGGCTCACCCTGACGTGGCCTGTGGATGTGCAGCCCCTGCTGGTGCAGCCTGCAGAGCATTCAGCCCCCAACTAATTAGAAGTTGGACATCCTTGACCTAAGCCACTAACAAAACAACTGGTGAATAGTATACTGCTCTTACAATAATGTCTCAACATCTGGGTTTTTCCTATGTACAGATGAGGAGACTAAAATAAATCTCCTTCCCCCCAACTCCCATTACATGCATTCTCCCACATCTGTTTTCAGAGGGAAGAATATATTACATATTACAGCAATATAATAAAGGGACTATGTATATAATACAAAGACTATATATGCTGAAATAGTATTGCTGAAATAGGATTCCCTATTCTCCCAAAAGTCACATTAAGTAAGATTCAGTCAGTTCTTCAAGATTGAATGCAAAAAAATACAGGGAAATGTAATGAAGAATTGTTGCAATTTTTTCTTTCCCTCCCTTGTAATTTTGGTTGCATTCTACATCTTACAGATATTACATCAGGAAATGTGCAATAATTGTTGCACTTTGCTGCCTCCAAAAAAAAAAAAAAAAGAGCCCTACCAAGAAATAATTTAGGGTTGAAAAAGTAAATTGAGCAAACTGACAATTAGATAAGATTTAAAACAAAGCATGGAAGTCAGTAATTGCTACCAGTATATGGGAAGCTCCAAGGGACTGGAGGGGCAGAGTTCACCTAATACTCTATTTGTTGATGGTCAGCAGAACTTGCGTTTCCAAATCACTTTAACACTTTGTGATATCCCACCTGTCAAGCTGCACAGACATGGGGAAGAAATGCATTACTATCCCAACAGCTAGAGCAATTGGCTAAAGGTCATGTAAGTCAGTGGGCAAATCCTAGCCCTGTGTAATACTGTAGACACCACTGCAAAAGCTTTTTATCCACTTACCCAGCTGGACCTTTCTGCATTGCAGTCCACAAGATAGCTTAGTCTGGTGGTTTGAGCCAAGGTCCTTAGTAGGTAGTTGGAAGCCAGAAGAGAACTAGGAGCACACAGCCAAGGAGCCAAGGCAGGAGGTACAAGCAAGAGGCAAATCTGAGGCACAAGGCCAAGCTCAGGTGGAAAAGGTCCGTATGCAGGACATCAAGCCAAGAGGCTAGAGCCAGAAACTGGAAACTAGGAGGGAAAGCCAGAGAGCTAGAGTGTCTAAGCCAAGAGACAAACCAAGGTCAGGAAAAGGAGCCAAGGAGCCAGCAGACAAGGCTGAGTCAGGGATCAAGAACCAGGAAGGAAGGAGGCCAGGAAACCGATGTAATGGGCCTGAAGCTCCTCCTGTGCAAGGGGGTGGTCTCTGGTGTACAATACTTGTTTCATAAAT